ATCAGAATATAACAAGTATTTTGTCTGTGACTGCTATTACACTTCAAAATATTAAAATCCCTTGTATTTTTTTACATGGAAACAAAATTACAGCATAAACCTACCAGAAACAAAACAGCAAAAAGTAATAAGCATATTACAAATATTACTCCATTAAATGGTGCTTATAAAATGAAATAAAATACAACAATTAAGAGCTTTCACTCTGCAGAAGCAGTTTATAAAATGTATATGTATCAATATAATCTACAGACACTGAGAAAAACCTAAACTTTAAAAAGGAGTTTTCTAAATGTTTTCCTAGGCACATTAGGTGACCCATTTTTTTTTAAACAGTGAGCAACTTGGATGTGATTGCATTGTGTTTAGTAATCATAAATTCTTATAAAGCGCTTAACAATGATAGAATGTGTCATATGACCTATATCACAATCAAGTAGGATACTACTACTTTGTTCCTAGCTACAGTATCCTGTATACACAAGTGTAATATAATATATTGTATACAGTTATTTTGGGGCTTTGCCACGTTTGTACAGTCCGTATTACTATGCTCTGTCTGATGACCTTATCTCCTGACAATAGTACTGGAGTGTATTTTCTATTGGAAAATGCTCCACCAAGATGGGATATCACATGTAGTTAATGGAATTGTGAAACAAAAGAATATGGATCAATTTAGGGTACCAGGAACACCCAGACAGAGACCTGCAACAAGTCGTATACTAGCCGTGGTAAGGAAAGTGTGGTATCTTGGAACAGGTGAGAAATCATTATTGAAGGTAAGTGGTAAAAGTTGTCCACATGACAGCCATATGAAAATCATAGAGGATATTAAAAGGGGATGGTTTGTTGACGAAAAAAAGGAATTTTTCAAGAATCGTAAAGCAAGCCTTTCTTTTTGGGGGGGAGGGGTAGAAATTATAGGGTCTATAGGTTGCTTCTGGTACTCACAAAACATCACATAAGTCATAAGAAACAAACATATTCTCTTTTATTCCTATGCATTTGGTCTTAAAACACTTTTAAAATAGAAAACTAAACAGTGAATACTTGTGTTAACATTTAATAGCTTGTTTGTTTGTTGTTAAGCACAAAGCTACACAGCATGCTATCTGTTCTCCGCCAACCATGGGTATGGAAACCCGATTTTTAGCATTATAAGCTCTTAGACTTACCGCTGAGCTACCAAGGGGTCACTTAATAGCACATCAATTGTTTTTTTTGTTTTTTTTTCACTTTAAAGACTTACGAGTCCCTTTGTGCCATTCATTTTAAAGCTGAAATATTTTCTTCCATAATAACTTGCGGCAAGAAAGATGTGGGATCATACATATCTTTTAGTAGTTGATGACAATGTTTATGACTGAAAAAAGGGAACTTTTGAGATATGAGGGGATTAAGACAAGGGCTTGAGCCCTCCACCTCCCACTGTGCTTATCACTGCCCAAAATGATTAATTTTTGGCGGCATCACATTAATTGTGAAATTACAAACATTGTCAAAATGTAGTTGTGATACGTTCTATCCCACCGAGACTTTATATTGGGTGTGGTTGTCACATGACTTGCTGATTTGCATATTCAAAATCCCTTTAATATAACACATCTAATTCTCTGTATTATAGTACACTATCCTACAATGTATTGTAATACAAAAATGTTACGAATGTAGTACTATGTATGCTAGTTCCAAGGATGTGAACTGTTCCGCAAACAGGTGAGCTTTCTGTGACATATAGTCATTGGAGAGAAAATATCTAGAGACTCAAACAAAATTGAATCTGTTCAGAGTTAGTCAAAGTATAGACATTTGGTAAGGTAAGAAGATTTCTAGGACTATGCTCTTACTGTCATTGCTCTGTATAATGATTCTGTAATACGACTCGTCCTCTACACAAACTATTAGAAAATAGAAACAAGTTTTGCCGAACTGCTGATTGTGAACAAGCATTCAACAAACTGAGGAAATAAATCACTAGTACCCGAGTATTAACATATCTAACTCTTGTAAATCTACATAATAGATACAAATGATAGTGATTTTACATTAGCAACAGTTTTATCACAAATACAGCATGTGAAATCATTTGTAATTGTATTCCATGACAAGGCGATGCATTCTGCAAGGAGGAATTGTAAAATTTACAAAAATAAGTGTTGTTCGTGCCTCCAGTTATTTCTATCATTATCTATATATACAAATGCTTATATTCCAGACAGATTATGTAGCACTGAAGTGGTTAATTAATTTTTTCAATCCAGAAGGCCAAATAGCAAAATGGCTCTAGAAACTTCAGGAGTACAAGTTCAACATCATACGTTGCTCTGCTGTTGATGCATTATCCAAAAACCTTGTATTACCAAAGAATATAAACTTTGTGAAATGAGGAAAACACAAGATAATCAAGACCACCAACCTAAAGTGCAATAGAGCAGAATCTAAGATGAGACATTCACAGATGAAAGGTTTGAGAACTTTAATAGACTGCAGCTTGGTAGTTGCAGTCCATTAAAGTACTCAACTCTACTATGTATATTCTACCTAAAGTTCCACTGAAACAACACTCACAAATGATATGAAAAACTAATGTGGTCCAACACTCAACTGAAAGATGCTAAGGCAAAAGATATGAGTCTTAAGTGGATTATTCAGTGGATCAGAAATTATACAGAATGACCTTGTGGTAAATAATTGGCTCATTAAAGCTCAAAGACAAAACTTTAATGGATATAATGATATTCATTATGCATATGAGCGAGCCTGTCATGTTGAAAATGGGAAGATGTGAAATGACAAATTGTGCGTCGTCTCACCCTTGCTACTGACCCAACATCATCAATACCAATTTGTCTTGCTGAGCTTAGTTTTTCTTTACTTGACTTCTGACATATAATACAATATGACCCAATCTGTATCAAGTCTTATTCTTGCTTTTTAAGGGAGGAACTGGATAAGACTTGAATCATGACTCCAAGCAATTTTTATGTTGACTTTCACCTTCATTCGAAAGAAGCAGAAGCTCCCTATACTACAATACCACAACTACAATATACGACTAATAAAACTATCATACAGCATCTGCATTAAATCTAGAATTCTGAAATTAAACTACATTATTATACCAACAATGTTGAATTAGGAGAATAGTTGTAGTGGGACACAGATGATTACAGCTACAAAGAGTAGTAAAAGATATATATATATATATATATTGTTTATTAATATTATAATACTTCCATATTTGCATATCTATTAATAATGAAATTAACATAACTGAATGTTGTATTAATATAATACTACTCAACGATCTGGAAGATACTTTAGTGAATATAAAAATCATAGCAGACACACGTATGGTTATACACATTGTTATGGATGAAGAATTTTTATAATTTCCAGAAAATATACAAACATTGTTTTGAAGGATGTATAATGAGTCAGATAAGCTTATGTACATCAAATAGGTATATAAACAAAGTAATTCTGATGTGGCTGTAGCCTTCATATGGCTTTTGTGGAAAAATAAATGCATTTTATGGAACCAGCAAGCATCAACATATAGTGTAAGAGAAAGTTTTTCTTAGCACAAACGCAATAATAGTGGCGCCAGAATTGTGCAGAATTGGTCCTAATTTTTTCAATGGATCACTGTAGATTTTACAAGCAAAATAATGAATTCAATTAGCAGCTCAGGTGCAATTTTACCATTAAAATAAAAGCTAAATCAAAATACAAATCGGTGAATTCGTCTCTTTTATACTTATAAAGCATGTTTCTAACATCCCTGAGGTCAATAGATAAATATATAGATTTAAATGCTGTTTGATGTTTCGAGTAGACAGGTGTCAGAGTGTACAGGCAGTGTGAGAAACACTTTCCGACATGGACTATGGAAATGATGATACACAATTTATTTAAATTACTAGCCAAACGAGAATCATAATGCATTTGAAAGCATTAAATTTGCATCTCTGTTCCTATGGAAACAACACGCAGATAAGTAAGGACAAAGGGACAAAAAAAAAAAAGATCAGATGAGATCAAGAAACAATTTGATATAGGTCTTATCTTTTGTACGGTGAGATAGTCAATTCTATAAAATCTTGGATCATACTACTCTCCGCAATGGCAGCAGACCCTCCTCCTATTATGAAGGCTCCAATTTGAGATATAATCTTTTAAGATCTTTAAATTATCTAAATTTTGACTCCCTCTGACCTGGAAATGTTAATTTTTCTGCCTTCCCCATCAAATTAACTCTTTGCCCCTTATGCTCATTCCCTCTTATAAATGATCCTAGAAATGCCACTGCTGGTGGAAAAAAATTAAAGTACCGTATGGCGTAGCTAGAAAAAGCAAAATGTGCACAATATACAAACAGAAGGCTACTTTTAACAAAGCCGGGCCCCCCAGTGGCACAGCGGTATGTCTGCGGACTTACAACGCTAGAATCCGGGTTTCGATACCCGTGGTGGGCAGAGCACAGATAGCTCTTGTGTAGCTTTGTGCATAATTAAAAACAAACAAACAAACAAAACAAACAAAGCCGGTCTCCACGTGAGAGGTCAGCGCCAGTTGGTGTAACCTCTGGGATTATCAACCGATACTCAATCTAATTTTGGTAAGTTTGTTTGTTTAAAGTTAAGCACAAAGCTACACAATGGGCTATCTGTGCTCTGCCTAAGACGGGTATTGAAACCCGATTTCTAGCGTTGTAATTCCGCAGACATACCGCTGTGCTACTGGGGGACTTCTGGTAAGCATTCAGCCTATTTCTAATGTCAAACCATTCATTTATTATTTATTACAAAATATTTCACACACTCACAAAGTAATATATTTAAAACATACTTTAATACAGGCATCACAATGAAACGTTTATAGTGTTTTTTAAAGTCCGTTATATATTTTTAATTGAGACTAATAGTAAATTACATTTGTATGGTTTACATGTTTTTCTTTGTACACACCAGATAGCGCTTTCCTAAGATAGGGCATGTGTTGTAAAAAAAAAAAAAACGTTATCGTAGAGAGTCTTGAGCTTTACAATTTTTAAAAATTACGCTGTCTTAGGAATTATTCTTTTAAATGGATATTTTTCGAAAAAGTGTACTTCAGTTTCTTCCGCAGCAATGTTTTGATGAGTTTTTCGTAGATTTTAATTTTTTTCATGGTAAGTAATCGTTTGAATTACTATATTTATTTAGAAATTAGACTAATGTTAAGTAGTACTACTGAGTACTAGTGAGAAAATTATGCTCATAGTATTAGTAGGGCAGCGTTTCTGCTAGTGCAACGTAATAAATGTGGATTACTATGTTTTAAATTTTAAGGAATTTGATGGAAACAACCTCAGTAGAGTTATGGAAGAAGAGGATTTTGATGTTCTGCTTGATTAATCTCTTAAGCCATCCAAGTAGTGTGCTGTTGCTAATGGTAGGGTAAACAGGATTTTACTTTTAGGTTGTAACTTGTATGTACTAATCTACAGGATTATTGAATACAATGCTAAAGAGGTATAGGTTAGGCCAGTTGGGAGTATTGTATTTAATCTTGTTTTACCTTAGGAAGAACATTGAATTGTTAGAAAATGTTGAAAAGAAGGCTACTAGAATGATACCTGGGATAGAAATGTTGTTATACGAGAACGGGTTTATATCTATGAAATTGTAGTGAGAGTAGTAGAACCCTGGGACACAAATGTAAACTTTGGTAGGGTAGGAGCCATCTTTAGTAAGACATTTTTATTTTTCTAACAAAGTAATTGGCCTTAGGAATGGGTTACCTTCAGATGTGGTGGAAGCAGTAAATTTAAGGGAGGTTAAGAGAAGGTTTGATGAATATTTGAGAAATAAGGACTAGCTTTGAGTTTTTCACATTTTAATAGTTTAGTGGATGTGGTAGCCTAGATGGACCAACAGATGCCTCATGGTTCTTAAGTGCTATTCTTATGCTTCACCTTATCTTATGATTTATTTTAAAAAACATAGTAAAAGCTTTTTCTTTCTGTTTGATTCTTACCCTAATTCTGATTTATAAACAACTTTTATAAATATGTTAAGATTACACTTCACCAATCTATAACAGTTGTTGTTTATGCAACTTGATAATATTATTAAAGAGATTAACATTCACAAGCGAATGCAGCATGCCTATGTCATGCAATCATAACATGGCCACTTTTGACACCAGAAAATTAGAAAACTGTCAAATCACTGCTTGGGACATGCAAGAAGGTATCTTTGTACCAAATTCCATGTAATTTGGTTGAAATGCACATGAATAGTTCACAAAAACTCCAAATTGTGTTTTCCTTGCTAAAGACTTGAAAACAGTGTAATGCAGCTATGTAATGTGAAGAACTGAATAGTGGCCAATGACACTTTTTCTTCACTTCACCTATCCAGTATATGGGTTTTCCTCATAGTGAATACAAAGCATTCACACCAACAGTATGTTTGATTCTTTTAAATGTTAATGTGTATTTATTTTATAACAAGTAGTAATGCTGATCAATTATCAGTTGTACAAGCTGGTTTGATGTTTCTAAGTATTAAAAAAATATTATTGAGTATCATTTCTGCTAATCAAATTTTGTAATTTATGGACAGATCTTGGAATAAAATGTATATATGTTAAAAAAAAAACAAATGAGGTAAAAAGAAGACATTTCAAGACTAGTCAGGACTTTTCTAACATTTTGTGTCTTCAGAAATATTTAGGTGTACAAAGAATGTTTCTGGCAAAACATCTACCTGCAGAGATGTATATGTAATTGACACTTTGCTTTCTGTATGTAACTAAATGTGAAAATTTGTTATATTATTCCATACTAAGTAATCAAGCATATTTCATGTCTTCCATAATATCCTAACTATATTTTGGATTAATGGCTTACGTTAACAAAATTTTCATTGTACGTGTAGTTACATACATTTTGTAATTTTTAGCAAAATAATGTTAGGGTAGGATATCTATGATAATTAGTGTTTAGTGCTAGTTTTAAGTCATGTTTTCAAGGGCATCATTAATTACACATAGAACAACTGCATTATACTAATATATTCTTTACTAGTTATAGAATGGTAAAATTAGCTAGTTATCAACTATGACAACTCATCACAGTAGGGATAACATATACGTAGCACATTTTTCATTATTCATATGTATATATGATAATAATTACTTGTAATATTTTTTTTTGTTTTATATTCAGCTTTCTGCCTCAAGCTAGCAATAACCAAAGGACTTGGAATTGGAATAATATTGGGGTCTGTATTAGGTAAGTGTATATTTACATATATATATATCTTAAACATCTAAGTTGTGAACTGTAGCATTTTACTATATATATATGTACATATAATTCTTATTGGGAGATTGTAAAGATGAGGAAGTCCCAAGCTTGAAGATTTGCAATAAATTATTTACTGAGTCATCTCCATATATGCATTGCATTCCTCGTTGAGTTTCAGCACTTTGACTTTTGGTGGATGGAAAGAAGAATTATGAATTTGCATCATATTATTATGGATAAGTAAACTTAATAAAAAAGATTATAAAACTTGCAAAATTCCACTTTAATTATAATTATATAATTGTAAACTATTAACTTCAAGTTGGTACACTTCAGTACTTTGTCGTATTATCTACTGGATGGAAACTTCATGTAAAAAAATGAAGTAAATTTTTATTTAATGATGTTTTAATTTATAAAAAGGAAGTTGAAGTAAGATAAGGACAAATTCAAATTTTTATAATACTTGTAATCAGTTACAAGTGCTTCAGGAAATGTAGGAAGGGAGATAAATTTAAAGAAGATATCTGGTACCTTTCCAAAAAAACAGGAATTTTCAATTTAAAAGAAATTTCTGAGACGATAATTCACCTCTTCATATGGAATAGCTATCTTCCTCGCATGGCTGCCTACTAGATTTTCATGCCATTTAGGCAACTCCCACCTAATTTTACATGTTTTAATAAGAATTGTACTGGTTCATGATGATATCATGTGACAAAAGCCATCCACTAATAGGAGTGCGACACAACCTCCAGGTGCAGTAACTACCCCTATCCACTTGCACTCATGATAACTTCATTCGTCTCCTTGGCATTTCGTTGAACAGACATGTTTAAAAGTTCTCAGCTGTATTCAATTTGTTGAGATTTGCATTTATTAATGAAATTGATTTTTGTTTTCTTTGGATTTTGTTTCAAAAGCTTTAATTTTTTATCGTGAAATCTCAAATGACAATAACTTGCACTTAGTTCTCTGTGAGTGACATTATTACACACACACACAAGCCTTATTTCTATAATGGCTTTTGGGAGCTCATTAACTGTTTGGTGCATTGCAGCCATTGTTCAATTCATTCAGGATTACCACATGCTTACTGGGCCTCCTACTCTCATCCTGTTAGCCGAAGTTCGAATTTTTAATAAGTTACATTCAAAATTTAACTAAGCAACTTTACTGTCAATTTATGTCAGTGAAATTAGCATCATAGTGTACGTTATAAAGTGGTGTTTTGTACTATTTTCTTTATTTCAAAAGAAACCTTAAAAATTCTTCAACTTCAGTTTTGTTGTCACATGATGCACAAGTTTGCTTTTTTCAGTCTATGTAACTTGAATACTTCATGTACTTTGTACTATACATATATATATATATATATAGAGAGAGAGAGAGAGAGAGAGAGACAAAAGCTATGTTAATTGTTCTATTACACATTATTCTTTCAACTCCTTACTGCTTAGGGTATGTTCAGAGAAGGAGAAATAAATTTCTTGGAACTCTTGACAGAAGCCATGCCCACTTTCTACACACAGAGTTGTGATTTCTCAGCCAGTTATACTTATTTGAGCTAGATGTTTATAATCAATAGAAAGAACACATTTTGAAATACAATTTCCCAATGGTTATTTGAAAATGGGTGTAAAGAATTCCACAGAGAACTAGTCAAACTGCTCTTAATATTGTTTCTACTTTTGTTCTTGCTGGCATTTTGTGTTGTTTTTAACCTAGAAATATGTTAGTTAGATAGACAGTTAAATTGTATTTAGGTTTTATTTTTATATTTTAGTTAATTGTGTGTTATGTATGTTTTAAGATGCATATTTGCAAATTATAATAATTTTATGATATAACCCTCCTCCTCCCTGGTTCACGACGGTTAGTGTAGTAAACTAGTGCAACAACATTCTGCCGAAAGCTAAAGTATCTCTGCCAATGGTACCATAATATTGGTTTGGAATGCCCATTGACATGTGTTGTGATAAATAATAACAATTCTAAATGGGAAAATGTAGAGACATGTGATTAAGATTATAACCAAAAGAAGATCTTTTAAGATTATTTGATGAAAAATTAAAAGGTATATATATATAAATTTTTCATATGTCTTAATATTTAAACATTTCATTGTGCTGTATGTTGATGATAATAGCTATAGTTAGTAATGTAGTAGAGAAAGTGAAAAATATCATATTGACAGTTATCTTACTTTTGGTGTATATTTAGAAGGTTCTAGGGGTTATGAAAATGAAATTTGAAAACTGTAAGATGGAAAAAGTGTTTTTATACTTAACATGAAATTCACCTTGCATTCGAACTATTTAGGGTCTGAGTACAAATAACTAAAATGAATAAATAATTAATTTGATTGGAAATACTTGATAAAAATAACCTCATTCTTGGTGTCCAAAATACTTGTAATCTTTAACAGAATGTTACCATTTCTTATGAAGATACATTAAGAAAGCTCAGAGTTATCATAAATTTCATTTTCCATATGAGCAAGTGCCAAATGGACTTACCTGTAACTATAGGGTTAATATTTCTCATTTTTTACTCTATCATCTCAGTTCCTGGAATATACCTTATTGTTCCTTCTTGCTCCTTTCTCACTTCTAAATGCCTCATCATCCTTGCTGTTCATGACTCTTTTTTTTCTGACTTATAGACATTCTTCCTTTCCTTTCTCAATTCCTTATTGTTTTATCTAATTGGCCTGCTTGAGGATTAGGCCCCCTGCCTTCTTTTTTTTTTTTTGCACACTGGTTCCACATTGTTGCATCTTTTTCTCACCATTCTACTGCATTTTTCCTTCTAGCTCCACCTTTTATCTGTGGCACTTCATTGTGCTCCAGTTTTATGTAGAAACTCATTCCTTTTACTTGGCTAGCTCAGTCTGTTACAATTTTTCTTCTCTATCCCTACTTTGTTCCCCTGATCTTGGGACTTGTGGAGTTGGCTTACATTCTTCAAAACTGAAGTTGAAGGAAGAATGTATACAGTCATATGATTTTCCCAGGGTTTCCTTTTGTCTCAACCTTGCCCTTTATTGTTCCTCATCTGTATCAATTTACCCCTAGCTTTCCCATTCCAGGTTCCAGGCCTTCCTCTTTTTCTCCTCCTTCCTTTACCAGAAGTCTAGTTTATCACTCTTCTTTTTAATGATTGTCATGTCATGTCTGACCTTGTGGGTTCCTATTTCTTTCTCTTCTCCTGCTATTGGTCTCATTTTTCTGTTAACAGTCATTTTTCATTCCTCCAACACAGTCTCTCTTCTCTTCACTCCTCTCCCCATTTTCTTGTCTCCTTCCTCCGACCCTGTATATGGTATATTTCACTTGTGTGTAGTTTGCCATGGCCACTATGTCAGACATCTTATTTCACATTTCCTTTTGACCTGTCTTCCATATGTTTTTCTATGTTCTGTTCATCAGATTATTGTTTTCCAATTCTTTTCTCTTCTCTTTGACATAGCATCAGGTCCCTTTTATATTAATTTTTATCGTGAGGGTCTTTACTTACCATGTTCATGGCCTGGGACTGGGGATCCTTTCCTTGGTTCCTCTTCTTACACCTCTTATTTTTTACAGGATACTACTAGCTTGTCATGAGATCTAAACCCTTTCTCGTGCTCACTCAATATTTGGTACTTCTTGACATTTTCTTCATCTATTGTCTCAGCCAAGTTCAGTTTTTTTTTCACTTATGAGCTATTGCATATCTGCTTACCAGGATTTGTGCTTCTCGTTCTCATACTGTTAAAGTGGTTCTTTCAAAACTTTTGGTGACTGGCTTTCCTGGAATTCCTCATTCTATTGGGATGTGCACACATGCACCTTCTTCAGTGGATTTTATGAATCCAAGGGATTCTTTCTTTGATTCTACTATTCTCATTTGGTAAACCTCTCCTCAAGGAATTTTCATGGTTACTAGTACTTGCCTATACTACTTCTGCCATCCTCTTACAAACTCTCACAATGGATCTGTTTCTTCACAGATGCTTCCCTCTCTGATTCAAGTGCATCTTGGGACAAGGACATGAATTCTGGCATTTGAATACAAGACAAGCATTCACTTCACATCAGTGTGCTCAAACTTCTCACTGTTCTTCAGACATGTTACACTCTGACAATTCCATGGTAATTTCTTACATCAACCTTCCAGGAGGCACTTATTCCAGGACTTTGCTTTCAGGCATTGGCTCTACTCTTTTGGGCCCAATCACTTTGGGTTTGTCCTGTTACTTGTCATTTGCAAACAGTTAAGACCTTGCTTGTGGACTGCCTCTCTCAGCTGGTCTGTATCCTATTATTGGAGTGGTTTCTACACCTCCAGGTCTTTTTCTGGGTATGCTTTTCATAGATGCCTTTTCCACCCATCTCATCTCCAGGTCTCCTCTCTTCTGGTTCCCTGTTTCTCATCATTCAGCTCTGGATCTCTATACCTATCCCCCTCTTCATCTCCCTTAGCTCCTCACCTGGATATGTAACACTTCTTGTTGGATCCTATTGTTGGTGCCTCTTTGGCCAACTCAGACTTGGTTTCATATGCTTCTTTGCTTGACATACAGACCACTACCCAATATCTCTCTTCTATTACTTCAACCTCATATCTCTCTTTTTCATTGAGGGATGTCATCCCTCCACCTTCACATATATGGGATTTGTCTGTTGCCCATCAGGCCAGACTTTCCAATCATGTGGCATTCTTCTTGTCACATTATCATCACTCTTCCACTATGACAACCAATGAGAGTCTCGGGTCTTTCGTCATTGGTCCATTGGCCATTCCTTTCCTCCAGTCTATCCTACTACTTACCATCCTTAAGACTGGCCTTAAGGTATAGCAAATCAAGGTGACCATCCTAGTTCCTGCACCTTAAGGGGCCCCACATCCATGACATCACACACAAATGTAGAAATGGCAGAAAAACTCAACAGCTCACATTATGTTCATTGAATAGATTTTGTGAATTGACTTGCCAAAAT